AAATAAAACTAAAAAGGAAAGTAAAAGAGAAAAAGCAATGATGTAAAATTAAAATAATCCTTAATTCTGAAGATGAAAATGGTCCCTGAACATATTTAAATTGCTTCTTGCTCTTGTAGTCTTATATTACTCTATTTTTTCTTTATTTAGAGAATACTTTATTAATTTCTGTAGTCAAACCCACATAGATATGACCTTACATATTTAATACAGTGCATTACCCCTGTACAAATGGAAAAAATTTAGCATTTCTAGACCAATATGGCTGTTGATTTCTGTACAATGCCAACTCAACACAGTAAACTGGGATAACATTTTCCAAAGTTGACAGCACAGTTAAAGTTTCCAAAAATTCAAATTATACACACACACACACACACACACACACACACACACACACACATATGTATGTATGTATGTATAGATGTATTTATATGTATGTAGATGTATTTATATTTATATAAAAAGATCAATAATAGCAGTATGTTATGCATGAATAGCAGCAACAGCTTTTCCAGGTTCTGCAGTCATCTGAACAAAATTACAGACATTCAGCACACTCCATTAAAAAACAACAAAAGCAAAAAAACAAAGAAAAGAATAATACCCAGAAAACAGAGAAGTTCTGTTACTGTTGTGGAACCTGGTACCATTTTTTTATTAGCATCTTAATCATTATCTGGAAAGAGAACATTCTAGAGTAGCATCATTAAAAATAGCTCTGATAAAGCACAGTCACTACTACGTATCATAAAGCAGATACAAGATATTTTACATTCACAGAGGTATGATGCAGTACTGTCTTACATCTATAATACTAGAATCAGTTGTGGTTTGAAATTTACTTTGTCTGCAAATAAGATTGCTACCCCTGCTTTTTTCTGGGCTCTTGTTGCATGGAGAATTGTTTTCCATCCTTTCACTTTCAGTCTATGGGCTTCTTTTTGCACTAGGTGTGTTTCTTCTATACAACATATTGTTGGATTTTGCTTCTTAATCCATTCTGCCAGTCTGTTTCTCTTGCTTGGTGAGTTGAGGCCATTGACATTGATGGTTATAACTGATATGTACTGACTTATTATTGTCATGTTATTGGCCTTTTGTTGACTCTTTTTACTTTTTCACCTTCTCCTTTTAGTTTCTTGCCTTGCCTATTTGATTTGCTCTGTTGGGCCTCATGGTGTTGTTACCTTCATTGTCTTTTTCTAGGATATTGTTTATAATTGCTTGTAGTGCTGGTTTGGTATTCATGTAGTTTCTCAGGTGTTCTTTGCCGTGGAAGTATCTTATTTCCCCATCCATTTTGAAAGAGAGTTTTGCAGGATACATCAGTCTAGGTTGGAGGTTGTTTTCTTTTAGTACTTGAAATATCTCACTCCATGCTCTCCTTACCCTAAGGGTTTGTGTTGAAATGTCTGCTGTGATTCTGATTGGCCTTCCTTTGCATGTGATTTGTTTCTTTTCTCTTACTGCTTGTAGTATTTTGTTCTTCTGTTGGATTTCTGGGATCTTGATTATTATATGTCTAGGTGTATATTTTTTTTTATTGTGGGCTAGTTGAGGTCCTATATGCCTCAGTTATCTGAATGTCAAATTCTTCCCCTCTGTTTAGGAAGTTTTCTGTCATTAATTTTTTGAACAGCTTTTTTAAGTCAGTTGTATTTTCTCCTGCTGCTTCATGGATTCCTATCAGTCTTATGTTATTCTTCTTTGCACCATCTAGGAGTTGTTGGATTTCTCATGATTCCCTACTGTTTTTAAGAGACCTCTCTTTTCATGGTCACTGACTGCAATCTTATCTTCTATATCTGAGATTCTATCTTCACATTCTTTTATTCTGTTGCATACACTTTCAATGGAGTGTTTAATTTCCTGGATATCTGTTTGAATCTATTTTATGGATTCCATTTCTTTCCTATGTTGGGTGTTTATTGTTTCCACTTCTTTCTTATGCTGGGCCTTCAGGACTTCTATCATGGTCCTGAGCTCATCTATTTTTTGTCAGTTTCTGTTCTAGAGTCTCCAATCATGACTTTAATTTTGCTCACCATCTCTATGGTTATTTGGGAAATTATTTCTGTTTTGAATTTTTCTAGAGCCTGATTGATCTGTTTTGTTACTTCCTGTGCTTTGAATTCAGGGTGTCCTGGTGGTTCACTACCAGATTTTTCATCCTCATTTGCCTTACTGTTTGCCATTGGTGAACTGGAAGTCTGTCTTTGTGTCTTGCTTAAGTGTTTTCTCATTTTTATTTTTGTTGTTGGGTTGTTCTTAGTTTAATCTCTGGGTTATCACTCAAATCTTCCTGATATAGTTGTGCCCTAGCTTCTGTGTCTCTAATGACCCACAGACATTCTCATCTTCATAACATCAGAGAAAGCAGCTCATCAAATCAACCACAATCCTTTATCCCAACTGATACAATCAGCAACACAATATGATCAAGCACAACTTGGAAACTGACCACCTGTGGTAGTCACTAGTCTATCACCCTTAAACCATTTGAATTAAATTGAAATCAACAAGCAGTCCAAAACATGTCTGCAGTGAACAAACTTTTCAATATGGTATATTTACGATTTAGGATGGGGGCTCAGACAGAGCTAGGATGCAAGACCCCTGACCTCAGCTAGCTGATGGCATAACCCCATGACACAGACTGACCTTGGGCTGAAAGGCCCAGATTGAGTTCCCCAACTTTCTGAACAGTTGAACTCCACACCGTTCTACTACAGGTTTCCCACACCCTTTCTTTAAAGATGTTCAAAGTTGGGTACTCAGAAAAATACCCTTTATGGCCACCTCTGCCTCTGCAGAGTGGGTCTAAAGACTGGCACAATCAGGTCTGAGAGTGCGTGCAGTGTGTGTGGGGGATTAGGGGAGTTGTGGGGGTTCAAGGGCACCTATGTAGCTACCTTCCTGGCGCTGGAGTGATGGTGGCTCCCTGGGGAGAGGGTGTGGACTGTCTATATTTCTATTATCATCCTGGTCTTAGCTCCAGAACTACCAGCCCATTAGTTCTGCTACGTCAACTTTCCTAGATTAATAAATGTCTAGAATATTAGTAAAGCACATGTCTGCCTGTGTTTGTAGGTTTTTACTTTTCCAAAGATAATGCAGACTGAGGGAAAAGACCCACCTGATGGTGGATGGAACCACACAACAGGCTTGCAGTCCAGATGGAAACCAAAGAAAGGGTAAATCAGCCTAAGTCTGAAAAGCTCCATTCTGGTTGAGCAGGGCTGTTTTCCTAGTGCCATTGCTTGTGCACGTCAGACTCCAGCACTCCAGCTTCTTCAATGCAGGCTCATCCCAGCAACTCTACAGTGAACTCTCAGACCTCTAGTCTTGGACTGGTACTGCGTCCTTGATTTTTTTTTTTTTTTCTGCAGCTTCCAGCTTCATGGACTGACCAGTTTCTGCATCTTCAGACTTTCTAGTGTGCAGATGGCCATTGTAGACTCTCCCACCTCTGGTCTTGTAAGACTTCTTAATACATATCTTTGCAAAATTATACAAGCAAAGGGTAATCAAAGTATATGGTGAAGGCTTAAATTTTTAAGATTTATTACAGTAAGAGACACATTGTCACTAATCCTTCTCAAATACTGTCCCCACATATTCCAGAGTTCTTGAAAGAATTCTTGAAGCATTTCTGGAAGTCCTTTTCTCTGAGTACCTTTAGGAGATTTGATCAAAATTATGGTGAATATTGGTGCCACATGTAAACCAATTGAAAGGCAGGACTGTTCAAACATTATAGTGAGTCCTCATCCTCCTTATTCATCAGATCTGGCACTATGTGACTTGTATCTCTTCCCAGGAGTCAAAATGACCATGAAAAGTAAACATGTTGAATTGATTCATGACATCATGGCAGCCATGACAGAACAACTAAAGACATTCATAAAGGAGAGATTCTAGAACTACTTCTGAGTGTGCTAAGAAAAATGGAACCATTGGGTTCAAGTGAAGGGGAGTGTTTGGAAGGGGATTACTGCCATTATATTTTTAACTGTAATAATTTTTTTAAAAATTTAAATATTCATATTTTTCAATACTTCACATATATGTATATCTATGTAATAGTCCATTGATTCTGTTTCTCTAGAGAACCTTAGCCAATGCAATTGCTCATCATTTTCTATGTAAAGCCTCCTAGGCTTTCTCCAGCCTGATTCTCCAAATTGTCCAAAGTCTATTATAAACCAGTTTCAAAGGCTTTTGAAGCAAATGGTCAGGTACAATGATCTCAATGATTCTATTTTTCTCGTGCCAATTTTCTACATTAGTCAGCTTTCCTTTTGATGGACAAACTACAAAATGAGCAGAGGTTTTTTTAGGCTCATGATTTCAGCAGGTTGAGTTCATGGTTGGCTCACTCCCAAGCAGAAACTCTATGGTTGCATTGTATGATGGAGTAAAATTGATCACTTCATGGTAGCTGGGAAGCAGAGCTCAGGAGAATGGCATCAATAAAAGATAGTCCCTCCCAACATGTGCCCCTTGTGACCCTCCTCTTCACAATGGCCCTTTTGTGTATGGACATCAGTGGATTAATCCACTGATGAATGTAGTGTCCCCATGATCCAATCACCTTGCTGCAAAATCCAGTCACACTGAGTAATACTCGTACCTGTCACATTCTTATTCATGCCTCCATTTTAAATCAGGGCATGTGGATGCCCAGTATTTGTTTACCTTCCTGTCTGGGTTCAGCTCTCTAAGGGGCAAAACTGTGTGATGTTTGTCATTCTGTCCACAATGCATGTAGTGTAAGAGATGCTGTGCAGAGGGCTGTTTCATGAAGGACTTAAAGAATGGGGTCCTCTTAGCTGCAACTTTCACTGGCTTCATGAACCTCGTAGATAGCCTGCCACACTACCTTCCACCCACAGCACAGGTGAGCATTTTTCAGGGACAACTACCTGGGTTTAATTTCAAGACCAGCTGACCTGTTTTCAGACTCTCCATCTGTCTGCTCTCTCTTTTTTTTTTTAACATTTGCTTGTATTTTCCTATCACTATTATGTGTCATCCTCCGAGATAGTAATTTAGTTTAGTAAAATATATCTATGTAAATGATATATATTTCTTTAACTTTTGTTTTTCTCATTGCTGCTTCCAGCTCCTGAAGCATTCTATGTGAATTTCAGGGGAAAAGTCTCTCTCTTTCCCTAGGTGTTGATAGTCTTTGGGGGGTAAAATTCGTCATATGCTTGTACGGATTGAGGCACTTTGCAATGCTGTTTCTGAACTTGACTCTTTTCCTGTAATTCACCATGTTGATCTATAATCCATAGCAGGAATAGCACATGCCTGTGACAGAAACAAAAATGAACCAGATTAGCTGAGCAGTCAGCAACCCCACTGGGCAAACTCTGGGAGCCTAATACATTTAGACAGATGACTGACTACTCTTTTCAGTTAAATTTAAATCTTTTTCAATTAGACTTGGTATATTTTAAGCACAGAGTAGAGCCTAGAAAACAGCCAGATATGTGGTATGTATTCAAAACAAATTATCAAGTGCAAATAAGATAAAATTATCCTTGAAAATTCCAGATGACACATTTTAAAGACAAATGTAGAACTTTAAAAGCATATTGTCATGTATCAAAATTATACATACTTATTTTTTTCTCTCACTGAGTTTATTGGTGCAATTTAGGTATACAGTACAGTTACATTCATTACTGGGCTCTTGTACCCTTACATGACAGGTCTTGGTTCTCATTTTTTCCCCTTGTCCCTGTCCTCTCTTCACCCCCTTAAAATTTCCCATTATTCTTGAAAACCTAGAAAAATATAATATATTTAATTTCTGGAATAATCCATACATTTAAAATTTTTGTCACTTTTCATCTACATTTTCACTGCAATTATTTTCTGGTAACAGTGGCCCTTTATGATAACAAGGAAAAGTACAAGATCAGTCATTGTTTGTCAAAAAAGACAGCTACTAGAAAAAAAATGAAAAGGGCATGTGACAGTCTTCCTATTTTCAAAGGTCACAGAATCATATAAAGGGGAAAACAACTCATGCTCATACAAGTAACACCCAGGGTTAACACTCTTCTTCTTAGCAATTTATTGATCCTGGGGTCAAAGCGTAATGATTAATTCACTCTCAGCACTGAAGTTATTATTCACTAAATATCCAGGTTTTTTTTTTATTTGCTTCTAAATAGTCATTGATTACAAATTACTTTGAAGGTCAGAAAGAGTATAACTCAGAGGTAACTGAATTTAAAAACCTTCATAAAGAAAGTAATCAATAGCACATGTGCTCCTTATTCTGTGGGCAAAAACAAACATACGATCTGCAGATTACCAGCCAGCAATCAGTGAGCTGTGATTTTAATGTTTGCAGCATATGTTGTTTAAAAATCAATCTTTCCTCTATTGCTTTTACTGGAAAATACTTGCATGATTAAAAAAGTAGTTGCTACAGATATAATGAAGAACTGCTTACAGAATCTTTCCCAATATGTAAAACAATCTACATAAACAATCTTACTGGGATTTTTGTAAAAGGTGAAAACCAAGAATTTCTAGGCTGCTGCCCTCCTTCCTCTACACCAGAAAGTCTCTCTAAAAATTATTACCCAGTATGCCTTTGTTTTGAAATCCACATACCCATGTACTTTTCCTCATTGTACATCTGACATTTTCCAAATTATTGCCTTTCTTAATCAATTTCAAAGTGAGGTCTTGCTTTCTGAGGCTAATTTAAATTTTCTGTCTTTAAACACAAAAGAAAACAACAGTAAATGTCATTACTTATGGTTACTTTGAATGCTACCTTTCCTTATAAACAAGTGTGTAATAATTTTAACTGCAGAGCTAGCAGCAGTTGATTTCTCTAGCATATCCTTGCTGGAGCATTTCTGAAATCCAAAGTTTGAGCAAGATATGTAGATTTACAATCTAGAAAATAAATAGCAGGTCAGATTAAGAAAATATAATACAAGAACTAAAGGAAACAAGAGTAAAAATAAATTATGAAAAATTTGTGGAGTTTTAACCTTTTACTTTCTAGATTGGTTCTGAATGTATTTAAGAAATACAGTGATCAAATCATGGACAAATAAATTAAAATTCTAAAATATGTTGTTTGATGCAATGTAGCATGCAGATTGCAAGGTTTTTTATTGCCAGTTTTCCTACCATAATATCTAGAAGCAGTAAAGGGCAGTTATTGAGACAATGTATGTGTTGCATATTCTGCTTAGTGTTTGGGAGCTGAGCTGTTGGTTATAAATAGCTTTTGTACTGCCTTGGTGCTAGGGCTGCCATTTTAGAACTTCACAGATCAGGTGCCTTTAAGGAGGAGAAGTAATGTTCTCCTCATCCTCGGACAGAAGACTGAGGTCAAGGTAATGGCCCAGGTGGTTCTTTCTGAGGTCTCTCTCCTCAGCTGGTAGACTTCTATTGCTCTCCTTGTCTCCAAGTGGTCTTCCATGTCTGAGCGTGTGTGCGTGCGAGTGTGTATGTGTGTGTGTGACTATATTCCAACCTTCTCTTCTTTAAGGATAACAGATACATTGGATTAGGTCCCCACCCTGCTGAACTCATTTAATTACCTCTTTGATGACCCTTTCTCCAAATGCATTCACATTCTGTGATACTATGTGTTAAGGTTTCAGTACATGCATTTTAGAAATCACTTAACCTATAACATTTAGTGAGATCATAATTTTTATTTTTTCCTTTATATAGTACATGTTAAAGCTATGCAAAATGATGGTTTTGTATATATAATAAAATGACTAGCGTTGTCAAACATATTAATTTGTCTGCTACCTTATTGTTACCTTAGTTTTTGGAGATCAGACCACCTAAAATCTAGCCTCAGAAAACTTCTGGTGTCTGATATATCATTAACCACAATCCCCGTGGGTGTCTAGGTCTCAGGCTCAGTCATCCTACACAGCTGCAGCTTTGCACTCATGACCAACCTGTCCCCATCTTCTCCATGCTGTCATCCCCGCTAACTACCTTGCTAGTACATTTATTTTCCATATCTCGTACACTGGGTCTATACATTTATGAAAATTTTAATATGATGAAAGTAGAACTAAGCATAGAATCAGTGCATGTCTTGAAAGAAAATGGCAAAACTACAAATTGCACCGTTAGGGCGACACACTAATGTTCATAAGGATAATAAATATGTAAAATAGAGTTTATTGGGACTGGCAAGGTAGCACAAAGGAGAGCTTGTTCTGAGCATAAACGTGGCCCTGGGTTGGAAACCTAGCACGACCCTCCAAATAGAATTTGTTTCAGTATTTTCATAGATTTGACACCAACCATTTTGCTTTTTCACCAGTATTTATAAATATATTATCATATTATTTATTTATACCTTCTTAATTCAATAACAGATACAGGAAAGGCAATTGTAGCATATAACCTTAGTCAAACAAAAAAATACCAGAAATGCAAGGTAGTGTTTCCAAAGCAAGGAATGCCCCCCACCTGCCCCGTTAAGCTCATTGGTCCATTTAAAGCAAACAATGCAGTTGCATTCATCATTGGGATCTTGTACCTTTACATGACAGACCTTGGTTCTTATTTTTCCCCCATACCCCTGCCCTCCCTTCACCCCCTTCACCCTTCCCTATTTACAAAGACTTTGTTTTCATTTTTCACATTTTTTCTTTCCCCTTATTTCATTTCCCTTACTTTCCCTTTAGCCATTTTCTTCCTATTTCACACTATCAATTATACCATTTGAACCTTATTTACACTTTTTTTTCACACCAGAGAAATGATTTGATATTTACTCAAGTGTGTCGTATTTATTTCACTTAAGATTATGGCCTCAATGTGCATCCATTTAGCTATAAATATCTCTAATTTCTTATTCTTTATGGCAGGAGCCAGTTGTGCACTGCGGTCTAATTACATTTATCTTTCCAAGACACTAAACATTTCTCAAGTAATTAGTTACAGGGAAAATTGTAAAAATGTCAACACTTCTACCATATAAGGCTAAAAATAAGTAGAGAGTGACATAAAATGATTTGCAGTACTCAGGACTATTTTTTTATTTTTTATTTTTTTAGGACTAATTTTTTAAAAATATGTGAATTAAGGAAAATTTTATAGATCTAGAAATAACTTTTCACCTTTAAACTTCCTAAACTGTTAAAATGTGATTGATTTTTTCATTTTTCTTCCTTCCTAAAATCCTTTTGTATTTAATTGTTGTTTTGTTTTCCTAAGATGGATGCTTGGGGAGTGGATTTGGGTGAGGGGAAAAAAGCTCCTCACTTCACCTGTCTAAACTTATTTTCTACCTGGATTATCAGTGACACCTGCCCCTGTCCATGTCCACCAAATTAATTACCAAGTCTTCCAGAGTCAAGGCTGGCATGTCTGGGCCTAAAACCCTTCCCCTGCATGACTTCCCCAGCCTTCAGATTCCCACCGTGTCCAGTTTAGACACTTCAGGAATGGATTGTTAAGGCACATACAGACTTACGTAATTCTGAATAATAAAACCCTGAAAGACTGAAGTAAAGAATAGAAAAACAGTCAAGAAATGAGTCGCACCAGAGAAACTATTCGGTATTTACACATGTGTGACTTATTTATTTCACTTAGGAGTATATCTTCAATATGTATCTATTTTCCTATGAATGAATCTAATTTCTCATTCTTTATGGCTGAGTAATATTACATTTTATAGAAAAAAAAACACATCTTCTTTATCCAGTTTCCACCTGATGGGCAAATGGGCTGTTTCCAAGTTTTAGCTATTGCAAACTGTGCCGCTATAAACATGGGTGTGCATATATCACTCTGGCATGATTCTTTTAATTCATCCCAGAAGAGGGATGGCTGGGTCCAATGGAATCTCTAGTCCCAGCTCTTTGAGGTGTCTCCATATTGATTTCCACAGTGGTTGCACCAGTCTGCACTCCCACCAACAATGGAGAAGAGTTCCTTTCTGCCCACAACCCCACCAACATTTGTTATTGGTTGATTTTTTGATAGCAGCCATTCTTTGTGGGGTGAGGTGGAATCTCAGTGTCACACATGTGTAAATACTGAATAGTTTCTCTGGTGTGAATAAACTGTAATAGTACATAAAATGCTAATGAGATAACTGACATAGTGAAGTGGGAAGAAAAGGGCTAAAGGTGTAGGGAAAGTGGGAAGGGTAGGGGAAAGGTAATTAGGGAAAAATGAGAAAATGAAAAAGTGGAAATAAAGTGTTTGTAAATGAGGAGGCGAGGAGGGGGTGAAGGGAGGGCAGGGACAAGGGAAAAATGAGAACCAAGATCACCTGTCATGTAAAGGTACAA